ACCATACTATCCGGTAAGGTGGATGTGTAGATGTAGAGACAAAGTATTTGAACCTTAAGAATATATAGTATAGTATCTTTATATGATGTATCTAGTGTGTTGTTGCTTCTATTGGACGACGTTCATGATCCATGAATGATGGTTCATGGATCATGGTTAGTCGTCGGGATCACAGATACGATCTTTCAATATATAATCAGGTGCACATTTGCATTCGCATGTGTTCATGAATAATGATGATGTATTTTAAGAACAAAAACCAAAAAATAAACCGGTATCTCTGTGCATCGTGCATGTTGTATTACGCACACCATTCACATGCTAATGATTTTGGGCCTTCAAGTAATTGAAGTACAAAGAGTGGTCTTAGGGTAAATATAACGGTAAATATAAGAGATTTTTAATATTATAAAATTTTTATATTTATCCAAACTATTTTTAGGTTTTTAAATATACAATCTATATTACTCTGGATAAATATATCTCTCTCTATCTTCTATTATTTTTTTTTTTATTCATCAATTCCAATACAATTAATATTATAAAATTGATATACCGGAAAAAATATATGGCCTACTAAACGTAGAGACTCCAGTAACGAAGACTTTTTCTTAAGTCAAACCACAATTCCTGACCGTACGTTTTGGTTACCTGTCGACAGATAACGACCGTCTCAATATCCCATCTTGTTTCTATTTATGAATACCTCATCGCAAAATAAGAACTGGTTATCAAACTTTTCAACCTCATGCATCACATCCTACTGATTCCTTATGTCCCTGTAAATCGGGTATATATCTATCTACATAGGACCAATTATTTCATAAATCACATTCATAATGAGATTATTTATCAGCTCCATAAAATTAAATGACCAGATAATCTTAGGTATAGTGGATCATGCACGTATATACATTTTCTTCTCAAATTAAGCTTCGAAAGAAACCTTCAAAAACGTTATTATCTACATGAATACATTGTATCCGTATAGCGTGACAAAAGAACAGAGAGTGATGATAAATGTGAAGCATCTTACATTCATACCAAAAAAAAATATGTGAAGCACTGAATCTGAGTTCTCTTACCTTGCTTGCCGTATAACGTCTGCTTCATTGTCTGTATTCGTCAGCTAAAGTCTCAAACGTGTCTACCACTAATTGTCTCGACCTGAGGTAAAACACTGTTTATGACAGTTACGTTCAGGGTTTGTTTCTATCTCCTACTTCACCCAGCACCGTCAGTTTTCTATGAAAGGATGGGTACAAAAGTGTGAAATATGTGGCCCACTTTTTCCCATGTGGTTGTGGTCAACGTGTCAGAGTGCTAGAGGCCGTGGGTTTTACGATCTTTTTCTATATCAGTCTTATGGTCCCACACGCGTAGAATAGTTCCACTATAATGTTCACTTGGCTGCTATCATGAGAACAATAATATATTCCACTATAATGTTCACTTGGCCTATCATGAGAACAATAATATATACGCTTATCTTTACAGTTGTTAATTTCATCTTGCGGCTTAGTGGCTTACCATTATATAAATACTCAAGTAGACTAGTCATAAAGACACTATCAATATTGTACACTCATCATGAGCGGTTTTAGTTTAATGGAGTTTTTAGTATAAAAATCTATATCTACCATCATCATGTTATTGAGAAGCATATCTGCTCCGATACTGAAGTATTGGCTACCACAACACTGCTCGTCTCTCGAGCCAGATTCACAGCTCCAACGCCGAAACAGATCGTTGTCTCTTCTCTCATCAAAGTCCATCGATGGAGACAACGGGGAGCTGTTGCACCAAGCTCTCTCTGAGCATAAAGAAAGTTTTCTTAAATCAAGTAACAACGACGATAAAACCCTAACATCACGCAGGCAACGCAGGTCATCTTTAGATGAAACAGCCAGTGTTCTTAAATCAAGTAACAACGAGGACAAAACCCTAATACCACACAAGCAACGCAGGCCATCTTTAGATGATACAGCCAACAGGAGAAATAGTTTGAATCACTCGCCGACTTTTTTAGTGGAGAGGCTGTTCTCGAGCTCCGGAATGGGAGAGAAAGTCAGAGGTGATGATAATGATTGTCTGGAGACTCTTGTGAGTGGTGGGGCTGGTGGAAGCAGCGGGGGCAAGATTTGCAACGGTGGTGGTGTCGGCGGAAGCGGTGTTGACGGCGGCGGAAGTGTGGACGCCACCGAAGCCTATTACCGGGAAATGATCGACATGAATCCAGGAAACTCGCTTTTGACCGGAAACTACGCTAAGTTCTTGAAAGAGGTAATAAGTTGAGTAGGATTTAATCGGTTGGTGATAATTTTTTTTTAGGATATTTTAGTGGAAGATACTTCCACGTGTAAAGTTTGTATTGAATAGATATTTGTGAGTTACATGTCATATGGTATCGAGAATACCAAAAAAAAAATCATATTTTTTCTATGTAAAATGTGAACAGGTGAGAGGAGACACGAAGAAAGCAGAAGAGTATTGTGAAAGAGCAATTTTGGGAAACACAAACGATGGAAACGTTCTTTCGCTATACGCCGATCTCATTTTGCAAAACCACGGAGATCGTAAAAGAGCCCATTCCTACTTACTACAAGCCGTCAATATGTCTCCACAAGATTGGTAACGTTGCAAAATTCACTTCATATATTCTCTCGGTTTTAAACTAGTTTTCATTCTAGTTTTTTTTATACAAATTAAAAAATAATTAAATTTATGTTTCAGTCC